TCCTTGGACGGTCTGGGTACTGGGCTTGGTGTAAGGCTTGGGCCCAACGTCTGTAATCTTTTTGCTACAAATATATTTGCAAAATTGTGGCCCAAACAGAAATTCAAACCAAGTTAGATTTGGACTCGGGTTTTGATCCAACCCATGTGACTTTCCTTATGTTCACGGAACCTGGACATGTGTGACCTTCCACTTGTTTCCCCAAGTGGAGTGAAAGTGAGTTAACACCTGAAAAACGGTCTGACTGTTTTTTGCCTATTAGAACAACTATCATTGGGCTATTACATGAAGACCAAAGGTCATCTTCTACTGGCTGGAAGTCATATAAATAGGATATTGTAGAAGCTGCAGATCGAACACACAACATCACATGCATTCTCATTCTTCAGAAAAGCCTCACGCATCATTACATACAACACTCAGTTCACGGCTCTGTTCTAGTTTGTCGGAGCTCAGAAGTCTAGGGTGCTACAACTTCAGAGACGATCGTCGTTGTATCTTTGGAGACAAGACGCGCATACCCGTCATCATTACACAGGACGTAGTCTTGTGGAGAGATATTCTCGCCATGGCTATACCCTTCCCGCTTTCGGTTCCCTTGTGTTATTTAATTGAAAACATATTTTCTAGATATTTCGAGCTTATATTTTATTATATAAATATGTTAATTCAATGTAATTTTATTACATCTACACATTTATTATGTGTACATGAATAAAAGAACATAAATTATTGCTTGAGACGACTTAATCATAAGCGGGTCGATTAGTCATAAATATATAATAAAAATACATATCTATACTGTAAAATTTTATTGTTTTTAGAGTATGACATTTCAATTGAAAAGTGTGCTTGTATATAATTAAATAGTACGTTTGCTTAATACTAAGCATGCATAACACTAATCCTACTAATATATTTGATATTGTCTAAATGAGAACTACATATATACAAGGTATACCAAGTAGAATAGTTAAACCGAGCTGCTCGTGGGGCACGGCTGTTTGTAATATTTTTGGGTAGATGGTAGCCGAGCTACCCGACCTCGGGTCGTTCTCAAAGGAAGGTTGTTCGGAGCTTCGTTCACTACCTAGTCGTCAAAATCACATAACCGAAAACAAGGTCCTAAACATTCTACTCGCTTAAAGGGATTGGATTGCATATAATTACACTAAGCAAATGAAAGAAAATGATGCAAGATGCAAATTTTAGAAGAAAGATAGAAACTTTGGTCGAACGGAATCCCCATTACTCAAGAAAAAGAAAATAAACAAAGACAAATATGCTAGCTAAGTGATCCTATGTAATCTAACACGAGCTTTCTTAACTAAGTCATCTCGCTTTACACAAAGTCGAGACCTTTACACAAGATAAGCACGTATTGAATTCCTAACACACCTAAGCAAGCAAGAAAAATAAAATAAAACCTAGAAACGAGCATAAACACAAATTTGAAAGACAAACTCGAAGTAGTAAGGCCCTAAGCAACGCACCTACTCTTCTATCGCATGTTTGGACGAAAATAGTGACTAAAGCTCGAAACTTGGATAAAAATAAAATTACCGAAATTTCGCCAAAAAAGTAGAGTCATGGACCTTCAAACCAAAGCACAAAAATAAAATAGAGAAAACAGAGAGAATTTCCCAACTAAAGAGTTGAGAAAATGAGGGGTGGTCTCCAAAAATACAATGCACAATATCTATTTATAACTACACCACAGACACACACTAAAAACACATACATTTAAAATTTACACTCGTCCAATTTCCGCCCGGGCGAAATCCGGGCGAGTGATAGCTCTTAATGCGTGCCTTGGGCGAGTTTTAGTTTCGCCCGGCGTAATCTGGGCGAGTGTAGCAGCGGGTGCGAGCGAATGCCAATTTCGCTCGGCTGAGTGCTCCAGATGTGCGGGCTAACGTTGGTTCGCCAGGGGGAATGCCGGGCGAGTGTTCGAAGGCATGCGGGCGAAGGTTGGCGAAAATAGCGAGTGAGTGTTGGGGGTCCTCGGGTGCACGTGGTCTCGGGCCAATCTTCGAAAACGGTACATGAACCTCGGAAAACTCTCAAGTTAGTCGGGCCTGGGTGGAAATCTTTCGAGTATCTTTCAATGCTCTCAGACTCCATGGAAATTTGTGCTAGACAACCTCAGAAATATACAGAGATGACATGCTCGGTTTTCAACTCACATGCTCGGGACTCGGCTCGATTCCTCATCTTTCAAACTCGAATGAATGGACCTGTAAAACACAAAAAAGACAAGAAAAATACAAAAAAAGTACAAAATCACAAATTGAGAGTAAACATACATGAAAAACGACAAAACGGACCGGTCGACACTAAAACGAACCTAAAAAGACTCTACTCAAGCACACAAAACACAAGAAAAACACGACAAAAACACAATAACGCCATTTTGTTTGTAGTATTTTTGGGTAGATGGTAACCAAGCTACCCCACCTCGGGTCGTTCTCAAAGGAAGGTTGTTCGGAGCTTCGTTCACTACCTAGTCGTCAAAATCACATAACCAAAAACAAGGTCCTAAACATTCTACTAGCTTAAAGGGATTGGATTGCACGAAATTAATTAACAATTAAGTAAACAAGTTGAGCGCTAGCTCGATTAATTAACAGTTGTCGAGTTCGACTTAGTTTATTTGCAACTCTGATACCAAATATGATGAATGTCTCATGTAATGCTCATATGCCTTATTATTTGTTTTTAATGATGATACTCTCATGGTGATGCTAAAATACAACTCTTGACAGTTTTTTATTTTTATTTTTTTTTCAATACAACTCTTGACAATATGATGCTATTTCTTTTCTTTATTTTTCCTTTGATTAGACTGATGTTAGGACCAACAACTCAAACTCAGTCCTCCATCAAGTCTAACATACAAACCCAAATGAGGTTCCATTCTAAAACCTCCCCTCAAACACAAGACCACATTGGGCCTCCCCTTGAACGAAATTCATACGATCCGACCATCTTGTACCGCCGTTATCACCCACGGAACCCGCCGCCTGACCACCCTTTCGCCAGGAAAACTTTTGACACAAAGCACACGGATTCACCAGCCGTCCACCGGCTCCACGGGGAAAATGCCTCGTCATCCACATCGCAGCTGGACTACCAACCGTGGCTCTGATACCAATTGTTAGGAGTTAGGACCAACAACTCAAAACACAGTTATCCATCAAGCCCAACATACAAGCTCAAATGAGGTTCCATTCAAAAACAATTGGCAATAGAAGGAGTATCCCACCAAACTTATATATTAGATTTTGATTAAGTTTTGTCCCACATCGGATGTGTACCAAAAATGTGTAGGATCTTTTTAGTGTAAATAGGTCCATTGCCTTTGCGTTACAATTGCACTTTATTCTATTCTGTCCTCTCTTATTAGAAGGAAATCCTTCAATTAAGGAAATCTTAATTTGTGGTTATTTAACCCTAGTTGTATTTTGTTGGCGAGTTTATTAAATTTGACGTTGCGGTTGGCGGTGACCAGAGACGTAGACAATATTTGCCGAACTCCGTTATCAATTTTTTGTCTTCTTTTTCTTTCTCGTCTTTTATTTATTTGTTTTGACTTATTTTTCGTTTGGAGTAGTGCTTGTCATATTGTTGTAGGGATATTTTTGTCCGCTGCGTTTGTTGTTCTACCTAACAACTAATGCATAATTTTGATTAGCAGATGTATTCTAACGTTGTGCCTAGTTCACACTTCACACGCACAAAACACGACTTTCTCACAATTGCTTGACTCTTTGGATTAGGCAATCACTTGTTCACTCACTTTCCTCTCATTTAAGTGAAAAAATAAAATAGAAAATTGAGCCAATTAAGAATAACCCATTTTTCACAAGGAGTTTCAATTAAAATGACCTATTTTTCAAAGTAATTTCTGTCCAAATCTTAGAGTTTTTACTTTTTCAATTAAAATGACCAATATAAAATTTTCAATTTAATTCACGCCCCAAGCTTTACATATTGCCATATTGGTCATCAAAATCAACCTATAGGTGGGAGAAGTTTGACCGGTCACCGGTAGCCCTTCTGACCATTTGACTTTTAGCCGTCTACCAAGCCTCAAACTTTTGATACATTACACATATTCCTATATTTCCCATAATTAATAACAATAATCGATTAGTAAAATTAATTAATAATAGAATTAAATTACAAATAACTATCTCAATATATTTATATCACTTATAAAATCTGGCAGAGTGCCATAAATTATATATCCGACATTTATATACATACATTATATTCATAAAATATATATGCACTTGTAGAAATTTTTTAAAATAAAATAAGCAATTCAAGAAATCATGCAATTCAACAAAAAAATATTCCAATAATATTTCAATCATAATTTTAGTGGACATTCAAATGCTATTATTTAAGTTGAAAATTTTTAAAGTATTCCANAAAAAAAAAATCGTACAGAAATTGCATATTTTAAAAAAAATTTCTTACCATTGGAATAAAAAAAAATCAATAAAATATGTTAATGTTATTTCTATTGAAAATTTGCAATAAAATTATATCATTGGAATTTCAATTGGAATATTTTACCGTTGAATTTTTTAGTTTTGTATTTATTTATTTTGTAGTGAAGATAATATTTATGTACACAATTTAATAATCCTACATGGTGGTGGGGCAACGATATTTACGGCTCAAAAAACTCTCTTATCCTATATATTATATGTATGTGTAGTCTCAAAGACTTAAACGTTGAAGTTGAATTCTTCAAGTTTTATATTTTATAGACTAATTAATATTTATGAGTACAATGATATTTTAAAAAAAAAAACACTATTCATATTTGTATTCACATAATATATTATATTTATCGCAAATTGGGCATTGACATTTTTGTACAAGAGTGTGTAGCTGGACGAAGCCATTTAATTTGAATTAGTTTAAGCAAGTCAAATAGTGCTGCCTCTCTTTTATAAAAGAAGAAGACTATTGCTCATGTTCAGATCACATATTGAAAAAAAAAATAGAAACAAGATTTTTAGAGAGAGAAAATTGTAAGTAATATGGAGACTTCTTTTATGAAGGAGGAGAACAAAGGGTTTGAATCTAATGGTGATGGAGAAAGTTGCGGAAAAGATGTCATTCTTCAGGTATTTTTTCGTTAAATATATTCGAAAATTTTTAATTAGTATGGTTTATAATTTATGGGGAAAAGGTAGTTTTTCTCTATAAGGACGTTATTATGTGCAGAAATGAAAATCAATATATAACCAAATAATATATGCATCTTTTTATGTGATCATATATTAATTGTACTGTAACATATGTATAATTGTATAATTTTGATGGCTTCTCAAGTTTAATTATATATATGTAAAAAAAAATAAAAAATCAGGTTGGAGCTGGAAAAAGAGCCCCAGAAGATGATGAGATGAAGGCAGCTTCTCCCAATCTGAAGAATTTCATCAACTGTAATAGCAAACAGGTAATTATCTATAAATATTTAGAAAAAATAAATAATGATATATATAGCTACTACAACACACACACACACACACACAATATGGATTTTCTGGATGATGAAATATATTATAATTATATAATAAAATTATAATTATCATCATCATTTAATTTAGTTCTGTTTTAATTTGTCTTTGTTTATTATGATACAGTTGGTATTTCATGATAAGTAGCAAAAAAATAATTAAAATAAAATAAAATTAGGGTCTAATGTTAATATTTCATGCATGAACAAATCATAGCCTTCCTCATAAGTCATAGCTAACAATCCTTTAATATTAGCCTAAAAATAACAGATTAAACTTTTCAAACACTACCAGATTAGGGCTCTTACACATATAGTCTTGGTCAGCCAGCTCTATATCAACTGGCAGCCCTTCAAAATCAAAACACCATTATTAATTTATTATAGCAGAAAAACAATTATTATATTTATCTCTGCAACTTGTTTAGTTTTGGACCAGAAAAAATTAAAGTCATGTCCTAGCTGTGGCAATAGTATTTAGTATTTACTCCAGTATGGGTCTAATTAAACCGGTGATAATCGTGTATTAGTTCGGACTTTTAATTAGTCACTATTTTGTTTAATTTGATGATTAATTCTTGAGTAATTACCTAGCTCCTTGTCTTAATAGCATTCCTAGCTATATAAAAACACTATTTTGTAACAAAAACTAATTAAATTGATACTATATTTTGATAGGGTTCGGTTGTCGTAAAGAAAATGGAGAGGTCGTCGCCTGAATCTGGATCGAGATCATCTTCATCTGCCAAAAGACAACAGGTAAATTCGAACATAATTCCCAATTAACTTGCTATAGATATATATAAAACAATTAAAGATGTTATAGACTGATAATTAGCAACCCAATTAAATGATGAAATTAAACAAATCAAGAATATTGACATGTAAATAACTAAAATATATATATATATATACACTTGCAGCTTGATGATGAACTAGGATCTTCGAAAGCTGAGTTGAACGAGGTCATGGAGGAAAATCAACGGCTGAAGATGTACTTGGACCGGGTTCTCAAAGACTATCGAACCCTACAAATGCAATACCAAGACATTATCCAACACGAACCAAAAAACTCTCCGAATTCCCTAACTATTACTCCGGCTCATCATCATCACGACCCAATGGAAGAATCCGGTGAGCTTATTTCCCTTAGCCTCGGAATAAGCAGCCCAAGTGACCGAACAAAAGACGAGCAAATTCAAAAAACTCCAAGAATCGAAAATAATGCCAATGTTCATGAAGGTAGTGATCATGACAAAGAGGGACTAACATTGGGCCTTGATTGCAAGACATTCCAAGTGCCACCTCAAAAGTTATCGGTCGAAAACAGTTCTCCTAATCATAGCCTTGAAAATAGCTTGGATAATGAAGGAAAAGAAGAAGGCGGAGAGAATTGGCCGGGTAATAATAAGTCGAAGAGTAATGTGAGGGAAGGTGGAGATGACGAGCTTACGCAACAAAACCCGGCTAAGAGGGCTAGGGTTTCGGTTAGAGTTAGATGTGACACACCAACTGTAAGTTGATTTCTTTTTTTCAATTGGTGTCAAATTTTGATATGGTTAGTTTTTGTTTTATATTATATTGTTGACATTGTATAGTAATGCATTTTAAAATTTTCCTTCAAATCATTTCAGATGAATGATGGTTGCCAATGGAGGAAATATGGACAGAAGATTGCTAAAGGGAATCCATGCCCTCGAGCGTACTATCGTTGCACGGTCGCACCATCTTGCCCCGTGCGAAAACAGGTAATAATAATAATAAAAATAAAAATCTACCATAAGCTCAACAATATTATTAAACAAAACCCTAATTTACCTTTACAATCACAAGTTCATCTAGTATTTTTTTTTTCACTTATATTATTAATATGTATTGATTTTTGACCTTTTAGGTCCAAAGATGTGCCGAGGACATGTCGATTTTGATCACGACCTACGAGGGAACACACAACCATCCGCTCCCGATCTCGGCCACCGTCATGGCCTCCACCACCTCGGCGGCCGCCTCCATGCTAACATCCGGCCCGTCAAACTCCTCAATTGGGTCGGGCCCATTATCAGCCGTTTCTGCCTCCGGAAATCTAAACGGGCTAAACTTCTACTCGTCTCACGATAACTCGAGATCAAAACCCTTCTACCTACCGAACTCAACAATTTCATCCACCCCTTCCTACCCAACCATAACCCTCGATCTCACCTCAAGCGCCGCCACATCATCGTCCCATTTGACCCGTTTGACCAATATTCCCCCGAGATACTCGGCCACAAATTTGAACTTCAGCGAGTCGAGCGCGCTCCCGATATCGTGGACTAATGGGACCCTGAGCTACGGGCCATACCAAACTATGAATAAGAACCAAACCACGAGCACTACTAGCTCGCTCAGCTTCGGAGCACAACCCTACGAAAACCTATACCAAACCTACTTACAAAAGACAAATATTGCAAACCCTAGCCAGCAAAACATGGCATCACCCGAAGCTATTGCGGCTGCAACTAAAGCAATCACATCCGACCCGAGTTTCCAATCAGCTCTTGTAGCCGCTCTTTCATCCATCATCACCTCGAATGGCAATAATGCGAGTGCAATGCTGCAAAACCAAAACGAAGGCGAAAAATCGAGTCAAATTAGTAATGTCAAGATTAGTGAGCCTAACTTTCCTATCCTATCGAGCTTCCCGTCACCGGCCTCGAACGCGAATAAATGTGCGCCGAGTTTTATGAACAATTCGTCGTCTAATACGAGTACGACTCAACCGGCAGGCGGATTGATGTTCCTTTCGACTCCATTTTCGAATGCAAAGAGCAAGTCTAGCTCACCAAGTGATCATGGTAGGGATCAAGCTGCTTGATTTGATTGCATGGATTGAAATTTTTTCCTTGATTATTTTGAACTTTATGATTGTTTCTAATACTCATTGTAGATGGTCTGGGGTTTTATGTTATGATGCCAATTGTGCATGGACCATTTTGTTTTTTTGTTTTCTTTTAGTTATTTTTGGAAAGAAATTGTGCATATATGTATTGTGATTATGCTGATGAAGAATGTTCACCAGCTTTCTTTTAGACTTATGTATGACTTTATGCTGCAAATTAAATGTGGATAATTTGTGTACATAATTTGAGGATGCCACCAAATAGGTGGTTGGCCCAACTAGTTCAGGTGTTCACTTCTTTTTCAATTTTTTTTATTTATTAATTAAAATTATTTTGTTATGAAGTGTGTGACGAGGATGCTTGCACAGTTCTACAAATTTCACAGATTGATGTAACTATTTAGTTAATTTATCCATAATGGAATAAACAATTAACAGATTGATCTAACGACTTATTTAATTTATATACTTTGAATTTGAAAACTAAACAATAATACTCGCTGCAATAAAATTTGAATGACATGCAACAACCAGAAATATTTAAACCCCAATCATGGCAAGTTCTTCACAGACTCATATAGATATGTGTTGATGACGAGCAAAACTGAATTGAAATAGTTTTCTCTATTTTACCCAAACCAATTAAATTGGTGTAATTGTTATAGAACTTTATATCAAAATTGATGAGTAAAGAAAAAATGTATTTACTTACTAATTAATTATACGATGTTGGGTCCATCAATCAATTTCAGGGACCTGTACGAGAAACTTTCTATGAAGGAATTATCGAAAAAATATAAGCAAAAAATTCCAGCCATCTCAGGGGCATAAAAAACAAAATCAAACTGACATTTGAACTTATTAACAACAAATCTGAAATGAAATTTAACTGTGTAATATATATAATATGGACAAGCAAATTCCACATAATAAGGCAAGCAAACAACAAAGAAAACCCAACAAGTTTTTTAAATCTCACAAACCACTCCACTATATCCTATACAATAAAACCCTGCTTTATAATAAAGATCACGAACCGCACAGAGGTTTATACGGTTCACCTAGACTTCGATTTGACCAATCTCTGGCATCTGGGGCGCTAATGCATACTAATAAGAAATCTCAAGAAAAGAATTAATCCAGAATTCCAGAAAGAAGTAAAAGAGAGAATAAAATCAGGTTTTATAATTTTACCATGTTTTCTTTGCCATCTTCATGGGTTTCCTCTGCTGGAGATTTCAGAATGAGAGAACAAGCAACTGCCAATACAAATATAAAAGGAATAACTCAAGAAACATAAAAAAAGTTACCCTGAGGGTTAATCTTTCAAAGGACACCTTTAAGTTAGTTTGCTTAGCAGAAAGGCCCCATGGAGCTTCTTAAGGGTGCAAACATATAGAAGACACAACTTATTTGTAATTTTGAAATATAACTAATCATCATTTTTGTAATTAAACTGAGTAAGGTTATGTAGTGTGTCGAAACATTATTGTTCTTAAATTTATTTAAAATCACCTTCCTCTTGAACACATTTCTTTCCCTGCTTCTTCACTTTGTCCTTGACCTGAGAAGATTCTTTCTTTGCCGGCTTCTGTTTTTTCTTTTGTACACCTCGACCTTTGACTTCCAAATCAGACTTAGAGCTAGCAGTCCTCTTCGGCACCGATCTTTTGGTAGTTTTCACAGTATCATCCTTCTCAGAACCCTCTTTATTTGCTTCCTTGACTTGCTCAGTCTCATCAGCATTTATTATTATGTCCACAGGCTTCTGCTGCTCCTTCTCAGCATCCGTTATAGAAGATGAAGAGCTTTTAACATCATCATCAGAAAAAGGATTGCCCTCCGAAGGCACCTGAAAACAGTTTCCAGATGCCTGGGATGGCACAAAGCTTTCAGGAATCTTATAGCCTTCGAAAAGCGCTTTCACTAAATCTCCAAGTTCAGAAAGGTCATGGCGGCGCACGTATGACTTTAGTTCGTCACTCAATCGCTGAATAGGCTGCAATATTTTTGTAAATAAAATATCACTATAATGAACAGATTAGCCAAGCATAATACTCAAAAGTAAAAAGTCTACTTTTCAATATCTAAAAGCCTGCAAGTAAGTTTAAAATGAACTATCCCGGTATTAAGTTTAAAAAGAAAAATAAAACTTAGAGCTTTGATTCCTGCAGTTAACATCCGTCCTTTAATAATTCAAATTGGAGAACATTTCAAACATCCCCATCAATTCGTAAAAATACTATAGCGCTTCTCATATGTCAAATAGAATCAAACCTTAAAGGTTTAGTGTAGTGTTTGAAAAGTTTAAAAACTTCTCATGGGCAGTTTTAATAGTTCACCCAAATAACTTCTGAAAAGCCAAGAACACAAACAGACAACTAGTATAAACAATTGCCCCATTCCCATACCTCACACCCAGCCTCCAGAGCAAGCTTAAAGAAACCAAGGGAGATAGAGTGCTTAGCAGCAGATTCAGACAGCTTAATTTGAGACAGCCAATAAGACGCAGAAGATAGAGTACTGAATTTCTTTCGAGCCGACAACCTTGAAATGTCAGAACGGGGTGTATCACTTTTTCCCTGGCTGATGGCAGACCTCTGTGCCCGAGTCTCAGAAATTGGAGTGATACTGCCTACAGATTTTGGAGTTGGGGTGATATTCTGTTTTTTGTTAGGCACCGAGAGCCGCCTAGGAGGTTTTGCGGAAGATTTCTCCTTCGCAGAGAGGTCGAGAAGACCTACACTTTTGCTCACACTAGATAGAACCCTTGTCCTGAATATGATGAATATCAAAATAACAAAGCATCATGCCACCCATCAATACATAATTCAGACTACACTTTTAAGTGAGGGAAACATGTTCATGCCTGAGGAGCTTACGAATTTTCAAGAATGATTATACAGGATGCATAAAGAACCAATCTTTACTAAGTTTTCAAATTCAATTTCCTTTACTATGTTAAATACACAAGTCTAGATTGAAATCCTTTATGTTACTTAGAATTTTTAAGAACACAAAAAACAGTCCTTGGAAGATTTTCGGGATGTGGATTAAAATCGGCGCAGTCAATGAATTTATCAATTTGCTGCAACAGCCACATTCCTCAATTCAAACCACATTAAATGATACCAAACTTAAATATTCTCTTCCAATCGCAATACACAGGGAGCAGTTATTACTCATTGGAGTCCAATGGACGACGCCAAATTGAAAAGCAAATACTGGAATATTTCACAAGCCACTAAATAACCCAAATCAAAAGGTAGAAAAGGGGAAGAAAAAAAAAACAGAAACACGCAATTCATACACACTGAAGCACCTTTTGGCGGCGGAGATGGGGTTTGAGGAATCGGCCAGCGGCAGTTTCTCTTCCTTCTGTTTGGTTGCCGATCGGAGAGGATAACGGAGGAGCCTCGAGGTCGATCTACCTGTTTCACCAAGCGAAGACGGAAAATCGAAAATCGTAAAAAAGCGCTTAAAATTCATTCAGAGCTCGAGAATTGATCGTCACTGAAAAATTCATCCTTATCCTCAAAAAAATTGTAGATAACGTTCTCAAAAATTACCAGAGGCAGAGGAGTGGTCTTTGGCTGCAGAATCTTCCATGGAAACAGAGATTTTCTTCTGGCAAAAACTCAGGGGAGAAGATAATTTCAAATTTTAACTGAAAATGATGATGTGATAGAACAGGAGAACTGATAGGGTTTTGTTTGTGTTGATATGTGTGTATGAATATATATAGTACGTGTTTAGTGGGCGGGAAAATGTGAGACTTCATCAAATTTAAATTAAAAAATTATAGTCAAATTAAATTGACAAAACAAATGGACAAAGAAAAGAAAAGGGCAGGGAATTATGCGAAGGAAGAACGGTTATTTGGATGATGAATTTTTTGAATTTCAAATTTCAAATATATGCTGCCTGGGCCAGTTTTCTTTTGAATTTTGTCAAGTAAAATAAAATAAAATAAAACAGATCATCATGTTAAAAGGGAAAAAAAACAACCGATTTTGATATAATATGGATTTTATCCCAACGGAATGATATTACAAATCTGGGTTGCTTTTATGAGTTTTCAACATTTTTTTTTCTTTCCCTAATAAATCACAATAATAAAAATCACAAATTCTAAGGTGAAACAAATATAATCCTCGGCCAGATTTACCCATCATTCTAAACAGAATGCTACCTACTTTATCAAATATTATACTTTTGTTTATATTATTTTTCAAAAGTGTGACATTTTCTAATCAAAGTATGAATATTTATAAATTATATATATATAAAAAAAAAGGTGTGTCATCTACTACCATGTTTATAATCACATGTGCATCCCAACGCTGTTAAATTAAATAAGTCTGGCCCAGCTTGAGCTCGACTCATTAAGGCTCCAATTCGACTCGGCTCATTTGGTAAACTAACCAAGCTTGAAGTCAGCTCGTTATGAGTGGTAAACGAGCTTCAGGCTCGTTTATTTAACGAGTCGAGCTCGGCTCGACTCGTTAAAGGCTCGAGCTTGAGTTCAAGCAGCCTAACCTCGAAACAGTACCGCAAATGTAAGTAAATATAAGTCCAAATAAAATAGATTTATTTCCTAAAAAAAAAAAACAAAAAATGAACTGGACAAAAAAGAAAGAAAAAGAAATCTAGTGGACCAAAATAGAAAGCCCGTATTCGGTGAATACGTTTTCTATTATAAACCGTATTCAGCAAATACGGTTTCCATTATGAAACGTATTCAGTGAATACGTTTTCCGTAAACAAAAACTATTAAAGTTAATTATCGTAATCAACGTAATTAACCTATATGACAACGTATTTGCTGAATACGTTTTATATTCAAAAAAATGAATACGTATTAAATAAATACGTTTTTATATTAAAATGAATTTAATATTATTTTTTTAATGGTAAAACGTATTTACGAAATACGTTTTATAAATAAAATCATTTATTCATTTCGCGAAAATAATTTTTTTGGGATAAAAAAGTTTTAGAATATAAAACGTATTCGCTAAATACGTTTTATCTTGTAATTTTGCCCCAAATTGACTTTCATTGCCCTAATTTTAATTTCAAAATAAAACGTATTTACGAAATACGTTGTTTTTATTAAAAAATAGAAAACGTATTAATCAAATACGTTTTTACACAAAATCCTGTTCACTGTCAAATACACCTGTTTACAACCAAAAAATACACCTGTTCACAACAAAAAAATATACCTGCTCACAACCAAATCCATCATACCATAATTTGCCGAACAAAAAATTGAAACACAATAATTTGCCGAACAAACAATATATACAAAACGATATAATTCGGTTTATACAGACAATCCAACAATTCAAAATAAACAAAAAATCTACAAATTCAACGCAACTAACTAGGAAGGAGTGTATGGTTGTTTAGTTTTGCGCGGTCTGGACCCCCTCCTCCGAGTATATACCACGTGTGAAGAAGACGAAGGTTGAGGTGTGAGAAGCGTGTCAGTTTGAAAAGCCTGCTCATCCTCCTCTTCTTCATCTGAGTAATTCAATTGAAAAAAGAAATTATAAATTGAACTATAAAAAAAAAATGCTAATTTAAAAATCTCACCTTGTTGAGGCTCGGGCTGCTCAGGTTGGAGTTGCTGGGCGGACGGCTGAGCGCGGGGACGGGCCCGAGCTCTTCTACCCCCACCAATGTTGGAGGCGGGTTGATGCCTGGCCGTGTGCGACTGAGTCCTCATGGGGGGAACGTATTCGTCCTGGGAGAAAACTTGACTAGACGGTCCCCCATGTGGAACACCCTGGCCCCCAACAGTCATAGAAGAATAGGCAAAGTTGTACGACTGTTGGAAGCCGGTCTGCGCTTCTGGAGGGATTTGAGGCATTAATGGTTGAATGTCGGATAATGCGCCATAAACCCCTTGTAGTGCAGAAGTCTGTAAATAAAATTCATAATAATTAATACGAAACGCAAAATAATAATAATAATAATAATAATAATAAAAATAATAATAATAATAATAATAATAATAATAATAAACACAAATAAATCCTATTACCTGACAGCCTAACCGCTCGGCAAGTGGCTGATACCCGCCCGCCTGCTGGAACACCGGGTAATTGGCAGGGTTATTGATGAATCGCACAGTCCTGCTGTGAAACCATTGAAGGTAACCCTGCTCTGGCTGTGGATAGTCGTGCACGGGGGCAACTGGGAGGAGACGTTGTTCTATTTCTTCTGTCCACGACCTCAGAAACGGCACATGGAATGCAGCCCAATCATAAAACGCCCTCCCAGTCATCCCCTGACCCTTATGGTGTGTGTCCCAGTCGCGCTCATCCAGAATGATCGGATCGTGGGGGATGGACTGGCGACACCCAAATTGACGGAGGACCCTGTCAGGCAGGTGTACCTCCCGGGTGTTCCAACTGAAAATCCACCCCCGGTACGTCCATATTTGTGGATCTCTTGAGCACGCCTCCGGGAGAGTATCATTCTGCAGGTGTTGTTGATAGGGCTGCCATTCGAACTGTAAAAAAATAACAATTGAATTAGTAATTAAGTTATTACAAAATTAGAAACAAAAAAAGAAAGATAAATCAAGTAATAGGAATTAAGAATATTACATCATACTCTCCCAGCCCTGTCAACTGATCCCGGTAAGCGGCCAATGTCATGGCTATGTTGGACCTCTTTTTCGGTCCATTCCACCTTAAAAAAATTAGAGAGAAAAAAAAGTTTGTAATCACAAAATTTGATAATGGAAAAAATGTACGGATTAAATAAAAATAACGGTGATTACCTCGCTCCCAATGGACAACCAGGCAGATTATCAAACACACTGGTCTTCACTATTGGGCGAATACGAGGGATATGCTCCCATGCCCAAACCTACACAAATGGATATTAATTTTTGTATTAGGTATTAGTCGAAGTAAGAAAAAATAAAATATTAAATTTTCAAATAACAATTAAATAAACTTACCTGGATCAATTGAACGCAGTTCTTCAGCCACTTCTCCTTGGCCTTGTACGAGGTTGACATCGCTCGATACACTCCGGCCAAGAGCGCTGAACCCCAACTGTACCCCTTAACAGCATCTATGTCCTGCAGCAGGTCCAGCCAGTAAAGTGGGACGCCATTCGCCCGCTGGTCGGGGAAGATGAAGGAGCCAATGCACCAGAAGATAAGGGCTCTCGCCCTCTGCTCGTACACGATGTCCGGTTGGCCTTCTAGCAACACACGGTTGCATTCCTCCTCCAACCCGCCATCATTAAGATACTGGCCTTTAATGTCCCAAGATTTTGGATCTTGGGCTGCCTGCTCTTCCTCGGTGGTGGGAGGATCCTGAGAGTTGTTTTTCCATATTTAAACAAAATTGAGTTGACATATAAAATTGAGTTGACATATATTTAAACAAAATTCTATGAAAAAATATACCTGGACATAGGGTTGGTACCCTAGCAACTCCTTGCACCTCTCTCGCCACTGTAGGGGTGTCAGATCTCTAGTCACTCCCACAACAGCAGCACCAACGATCGGCAGACCGAATAGGACTTGGACGTCCTGGAGCGTGATGGTGGCCTCGCCGAAATCGAAATGGAACGTATTAGTCTCTGGGCGCCACCTCTCCACTAGAGCAGTAAGGAGGCTGTTGTCGGCTTGGATTCGACCCATTCGAAACAAGGGTCCGAAACCAGTCCGGTCGATGACATCCCAAACCGACCGTGGCTGGCTTGACAAAGCCGCCCAGAACTGGGTGTCGAAACGGCGGTTTGAGAGCATCGTGTCACGAGCTCCCGGCTCATTATTAAATACCGCCTGCGACCGGTGGCGGTACTGGAGATATAGAAGAGTGCCATCCCTCGGACCGGGATGGACACTGTACTGCTGAGGCTGTGAGGAGGACGATGAATCCATTTATCTACAAACAATTAAGAAAATATTTGTCAAGAGTCCAACATGAACATATATGTATGTAACTTGCAACTAAAAGGATTTAATTCAACTCAATTATATCCCAATTTCATTCTCAACTCAATATATCAAATAATCGGAAATCGAGTCTACAATTTCATAATTCGAAGTTCAATTTGTAGTCCTAGTTCCCAAAAATCGAGTCCTAATTCGACAACATAGTATATCGAGTCCTAATTCGACAACATAGTACATCGAGCCCTAATTCGACAACAATAGTTCACATAATACAACACATTTTCACAATTTCAACAATTTCGACAACATAATATATCGAGTCCTAATTCGACAACATAGTACATCGAGCCCTAATTCGACAACAATAGTTCACATAATACAACACATTTTCACAATTTCAACAATTTCGACAACATAATATATCGAGTTCTAATTCGAAGTTGTAAATTCGAATTAATTGAAAAAATTAGAAAAATTTTAGGCCATTTACCTAATTGACGAGTTCAATGTGCAGTTGAGGTGGCGCGGCGGTGGTGGCGCTCGGCGGCAGTGGTGCGGCGGCGGTGGGTCTCGGCGGCGGTGGCTTGCCGTGTGTGGTGGTGGGGGGTTTTTTTTTTCTGCTCTGTATCTCGCTCTCGCTCTCTCGCACGAAGAAGAAGAAAGGAAGAGGAGTCCCGTTTTTTTGTTATATTTTATTAGAAACCGTATTTGGTAAATACGGTTTCTCTATTATTTATTTGAAAACCGTATTTAGTTAATACGGCTTATAAAAAAAATCCGAAAAAATGGAATGAGGATCCTAGATTCGGGACTCGAACCCGGGTGGGCGAGTCCGTTATCTCTGGGCGCACCTCATTACCATTAGGCCGCTAGGCATTTGCATTCATATTTGCACAAAATTTATTCATATCCTTCAGTGTTAAGATTTTTAATATATAGTATA